CGCCATTCCGAAATCGCAGGAGGGTCGGTGTAATGCACTACCAAAACGCCCGTAACTAAGAAACAAATGCTAATTCGATGATGCCGGCTGGCACACTGATTCACTATGAATGTAGGCCGCACCCCCTAGCGGCAGAAGCTCGTACTACATCCGGTTCGCTCTCTATTGACACAGTCTTGAAACTTTCCGATCGCACCTCGTATACAAAATTATATTTTTACGCGTTGTTTTGTATCAGTACGGAAACTTGGTAACTTAGACTCCTCGACGTACAGATGGGAGGGCGATATTCAAATAAGGAAAAAGGACTTGGTTCATCTCGCTCAGGATACGTCGTGGTGATGTTGTGATCAGGGTGATGAACGTTTTGACAGCGGAAAAAGTCATGGAATCTTTCGCCTACGCGCTAAAGTGTTCCGATATCCCTGACAGAATTACGACGATCCGTTCAACATTTACGATTCGTCGTAAGTTCTCTAGAATATCCCGGTTTGTCGCGTATAAGCGCAACTGCTGCTGAATACGGCGAGTACACACGAGATTTAACTCGTATAAAGAAGAGATTCTGCAACCAGACAGGAGAGAATAGACTGTCCGCCGCACATTTGGTACTGGGGTTAGTTAACGAACAGTTAATAACATGAAAGATTGTTACTTATGAAAGCTGTAGGTTAATTTAAGATGCAAATTTTATCTGAATAAAGTTAGTACAGTAGAACCTCGTTATATTGCGGATGTGATCGTGTCCCGCGATACGATTTAATATGTAGCAGGTAGATTATGACGCGTGTACTGAAACCGTCCTCCAAAACTCACGTTATATCGAGGTTCCGCTGTATTTATTACACACTACTGGAAATATTATAAAAATTATTACAAGAACAGCCATTTCAAACCTAAAAGCAAAATTTATTCGTAAATGAAATTCTAAATATCTTAATTTTTAAGGGGAAATTGTTAATGGAATTAAAACGTCTGAAGAGACAAGAATTAAGATAAAACGAGCTCACGAGGGATATTTACCTTTTGCTGACTTTGTTAGGATACTGGTAGAACGTCTCTCCTGCGAACCTGATCGGCATTTCCATGTCGATGTTCCGAATGTCTGGAACAAATATTCAGCGTCTGAACCACACGACTACATTCTCGCTCTCGTTCAAATCTGTCAGCTATTACCGACGCTACAAACTAACGTAAAATGTCCGTCATTGAATCTGTCCGGACGTAAAAGAAAACGTGATGACGCGCGCTGTTTGTGTCACTTACGATCTTCGCAGTGGCTCCCGAAAAAAGAGGGCACTTGCACACGTACGTGGCCGCCATTGGCTGACAGATCCCACCGTTAAGGCACGGATTAGCGTCGGTGGATATGGGGCATGGGGGACCGTCGTAGCGTGATATTCCTCTCTGGCGCTCGGAGTTGGCTCTCTCTGCCAGATTCTGCCAAGTCTGACCGTTAACTAGGAGACGCTGAATCGCTCCATTAAGACCTCTGGTTAATCCAGCATCCCGGTTCACCTCCATCATAGACCTTGATCAGAAAAGCAATGTCAGCTGAGGAGAGAACGGAGTTAAATTTCACAGAAACAAAATTGAAAGGAAAAGAGAAGGAAACTGAATCAGAGGAAAAAGTTGTCAGTGGAACCAAGGTTCCGGAGAATTTGACGTAAATACGTTTATACGGAAAGGAAGTTTATATATTGTTTCCTAGGTAAACAGATGAGGTTTCCTAAGTAACATAACAATGAAGTTACACTTTTTCGTAACACTTTTTCGTAACAATTTTTCGTAACATTTTTCGTAACACTTTTTCGTTTCCCTTTTTCGTAACACATTTTTGCCGAATAACACTGACCCTAAAATATAGACGTATTTACGTCAAAATAGAAGGAAGATAAAGATAGGACGATGAGAGCTTTGGCGACTAACGGAGGACAGAGAAGAATGAAAGAGGATAAATACGGCAGGTAGAACGACTCTGATATCTGCGAAGAAGACGAGAGGACAATCGCCAACTCGTTATACTCACGCAACTCCCCCAATATACAGGGGTAGCTCTAGGTTCAGCTCATTCAGAGGTGGTCCAGATATGCCCCTGACAGGAGGACCCCCGTCCAGCTGCAAGATTCCTGCCTGGTTGAGCCGACTCACTTTGACCGCGTGCCATTGCCCGAGCTTAATCGGCTCCGTCGAGCTGCAACACGTGGCAGGCACACGCTTCTATTAACGTTCGCAATCACTGATATTCTTTACGTAACAAACTGTTTAAATTTTCCGTCCCTTTATCAGTAAAACATAATTAAATCATAAAAAAAGTCGTCTGTAATTTCATATCGTAAGGGAAAAAACAGATTCTAGGTCTTTCAGAACTTCGGGGCGCCAGGTACGGGGTATGACTCACGTGATGTTGGCCGCACCACTGCCGAGGTCAAACCGAAACTGGACGTGTCCGTTGATGACGTGTATGGATATAAAGTCACCCTTTCCGTTAGTGAGTTGTCCATTATACAACAGGACTCCGTCTGGCTCCCGAGACAGAAACCACACTTCGAGCGAGAAGGCACGACCCACTCCCTCGAGTCTCGGCAGTTCCAGGTACGAATCTCCGTTGAACTCGGGGATAAAGATTTCATGCAGTTCAGCATCTACTGTTATGGAAAGGAACAAAATCTGTAGCACTCACTCGTCATAACGATAATTTACTACGGAGCTAAGTAGTAATAACAGTAAAAGTAATTATAAACAGAACAGTTCACAGAGGACCAAATTATTTGTTCTTTTATTCTGATCACATGACAACTGTCTTCTGGTTTGTCGTACTAGACGGTGATGCAAACCAGAAGACATAATCCTGCCCGCATTTAACCCTTTGAAGTCAAAGCTCGTCTAAATATTACGTATTTAAGATTTCAGTCCGTACCGCGAAGAAAACACTACGCTTCACCATTACGAAAATCGGCTGGGTTAACCTTTGAAGTCAAAGCTCGTCTAAATATTACGTATTTAAGATTTCAGTCCGTACCGCGAAGAAAACACTACGCTTCACCATTACGAAAATCGGCTGGGTTAACCTTTGAAGTCAAAGCTCGTCTAAATATTACGTATTTAAGATTTCAGTCCGTACCGCGAAGAAAACACTACGCTTCACCATTACGAAAATCGGCTGGGTTAACCTTTGAAGTCAAAGCTCGTCTAAATATTACGTATTTAAGATTTCAGTCCGTACCGCGAAGAAAACACTACGCTTCACCATTACGAAAATCGGCTGGGTTAACCTTTGAAGTCAAAGCTCGTCTAAATATTACGTATTTAAGATTTCAGTCCGTACCGCGAAGAAAACACTACGCTTCACCATTACGAAAATCGGCTGGGTTAACCTTTGAAGTCAAAGCTCGTCTAAATATTACGTATTTAAGATTTCAGTCCGTACCGCGAAGAAAACACTACGCTTCACCATTACGAAAATCGGCTGGGTTAACCTTTGAAGTCAAAGCTCGTCTAAATATTACGTATTTAAGATTTCAGTCCGTACCGCGAAGAAAACACTACGCTTCACCATTACGAAAATCGGCTGGGTTAACCTTTGAAGTCAAAGCTCGTCTAAATATTACGTATTTAAGATTTCAGTCCGTACCGCGAAGAAAACACTACGCTTCACCATTACGAAAATCAGCTGGTTTACCCACGAACCTACGAAACCACCTCAATGATCGAAGGGCGAGACCAAAACCACGGAAGTTGCGAGATATTTAGATTTCGACGACACAGGATTACTGTTAACGGGTAAGACGAAGTCACTTACGGTCTTGGCACAATTTTCCCTTTCTGCCCGGAGGACACTTGCAGATGAAACCCTCCTGTGGGAGGGCGTCACACGTCGACCCGGAGGTACAAGGCTGAGAAAGACAAGGGTCCACACGCTCTTCACACAAATCTCCTGCAAACGAGACGTCAGATGTGATTTCCGAAGACGACAACTCTTCTGGTAAACTTTAGGGGAGACAATGAACACATTACATCTCAAGCTTCATCTCGATACATAACAATCCTGTTCTCTGAACGACAAAATAATCGCCATCATCAACATCAACGAGACTAGATCCAGTTATTTTGAGTGGCCAACAGAGCGGAAGGGCAAATAGGAATATTATTCCGACCTGTGAACTCCCGTGTACACGCGCACTGGAAATTGTCCGAGTCTATGGCGTGACAGGTGGCGCCGTGAAGGCAAGGAAGGCTGGAACACGGATTCTCCCCACACTCTCGAACGCCAACTGCGCTCTCCACCATGGCGTCGAGACCCTCGTGCAACTCGACAAGCCGGCGGCCAATCTTCAGCTTCCGGATGCAGCCCATTAGACCCAGTGCGGTTCCGATGTTTTCAAACACCCTGTGAACGCAGACGGACGCCGTTAATCAATCTGAGGCATCGTGCTTCGGACCGGTGGTTCGAGTCTCGGGGGAGAAGAATTTTCTCACGAGCTCTCAGAGGGCTCTTACGTCACGGATTTAATTTTTAATAGAATTTTATCAGGAAAAACTGAACGCTATAAATGTTTAGCACTGAAAATGTCTGAAAACAAAACACTGAGGAAAATATTTCGATGTCTTAGAGATTAAATAAGAAACGGAATAAGGAACTTCATGATTTTTAACGCTAACTTTTGATTTTAATGTTGCAATTGAATTACAAGGCCAGCGTTCTAACCGCTGGACCACCTCATCTTATTATTATTTAGTGTTCTCTCTGACGACAGGTCCATATGAACAGGATCCTTCCATCCTTTTCTCTTCTCGGACTGGGACCTGTTCATATACGTTCTTGGCAGATGATCCAGAAGTGGTTTGCCATTGCCTTCTTCTGTGTGTGAATGGAGTAATTGTTGGGATGCCACGGAGGAAAACTACGTGTTGCCTAGACCACGGCCTTGCCCAACACAAGTCATAACCGGGAATCGAACCCGAGACTCCAGGATTACTGACTTTATTTTCTAGACGGCGTAGTCAACATGTGAACACAGTTTTGTGCATTGACTCGACCTGACTCCGCCCTCCGACCCTTCCAACAGAACTCACCTCGAAACATTCGTAGGCACATATCCGATGTAGGCGTCCTCGACCAAATCAAGGGCTTTCAGAGACCCCTGTGACTGGCCTGCGACGTCTTCGTAGTCATCCAGTTTGAGCATTCCATCTCGGTGGTAACGTTTTACCACCACACGATGGAACTTTTTCATCTCAACGCGGTCTACCGACGTGATCACTACTGGTCCATTCCCGAGGTTGTAGCGGAACTCGACATACCTGCAGACGCAGAGGAGACGTTTTTAAACTCACAGTTCATTTCTGAACGGGCTGTCTCGATAAGCGCTCCCGCGAGTCACACGACAGATGTCGTGATGACAATCCAAGATTGTGACATAAATGGATCTTTGGCTCGGTGGTTCCACGTGAAATTGCGCGCGAAATGTACATTTCACAGCCGTTACAGACTCTTACTTCGTTAACTGCAGAACGCAGAATTACTCCGTTGTACGAGGTGCGATCGGAAAGTTTCAAGACTGCGCGTATAAAAAAACCCGTACACTTATCTCAGGTATTAAATTCATCCATCACCCTCGAAGTAGTTCCCCTGGGAGTGAACACAACGATCCCAACGCCGCTGCCAAGCCTGGAAGCATCCCTGGAAATCTTTCTTTGTCAGCCTGTCAAGCACCATCTGCGATTCTGCCTGAATCTCTTCTATCGTCTCAAATCTCCTTCCCTTTAGCTGAATTTTCATCTTTGGGAAGAGGAAAAAGTCACACGGAGCT